CAGCCTTATGCTGTAGGCCTACCCTTTAAGCTTGTTGCTTTTAAGGCTTTTTCCTTGACAGCTGCAGTGAGAGAAAAGGGGTTTCTCTGTGCAGAATTTACACTCATTTCCGTGTGCCAATGTATACACCCAAACTTAAAGGTAGAGTTTCTTGACCAGGCATGGTGGTGCAGGCCTCTAATCCCAGCAGTCTGAGAGGTTGAGACAGGAGGTTTGGAAGTTTGAACCCAGCCTGGACAACTTAGTGACTTAGTAAGACTCTGTCTCAAAAAAAAATAAAAGGAAAATCTGAGCATGCAGCTTAGTGCTAAGGTGCTGGGTGCCATCCTCCACTTCTGCGGGAAAAAGTAGAATTTTTTTCATGTTAGCACTTACCCTTATGCTATGAAATGTATCTTTCTTTCTTTCTTTTTTTTTTTTTTCTAAAAATGCTTTTCTAAAAAAATGTTCTTACTCACTGAATTGATTTTGTTATCCATGAGAGGCCACAGCGTACCCCTTGAACACACTAGTTTATAGACACTTGAGTTCAGTTTCAGGCCAACGGGCCCACATCACAGCCCCACCCGCGTGTCCTTTCTGGAATCCACCCCCCCATACTGTAGAAAGTGAGACACTGCTTGGGTCACTTTCCTGGGTGTTCAGTGAGCAGTCGCAGCTGCATATCAGGAGAAAGGGAACTAACCCCTAGAACTCTTACCTTTAGCTTCTGGAGGAGAGAGCTCCCTTATACCAACCCTGCTGATATCAGAGCTACTTCCTAAAGGTGTTTTTCTTATGTAAGAGTCTTTTTGGAAGAACTCTTCCCCAGTCTTTCCACCTCTTCTTTTCTACTTCAGTCTTAGTGGATGAGAGCATGTTCTGTCACTAGAATAAGTGGAAATTTCCCAGATCAGTATTCAGGATCATCAGATGCTTTAACACGAATTCTCCTTTTTTGGGTTTTTTGGGGAAATGGAATGGCTGCCCTGCCCAGTGGTCTCCTCGCTAGCCTCAGATGGCTACTTAAAATGAAAATGCATCAGTGTTCTGCATGAGGGTGGGGATTTGGTTCCTTAGTCATATTCACTGCACTGTGGTAGTCCTGGGGCTGGCAGCCACATATAGGAGTGTGGAGGTGGACATTGTCATCGTCACAGGGGGAGGAGGAGTCCTGCTTAGGCCTTACCCAGGCTGGTCAGTGCCAGAATACATGGACTGAGACAAAACAAATGATCAGTTGGCTCAGCTAGTTTGCTGCTGACTGATAGTTTGTTGGTTGACTTAGCCATTTTCCTGGATATGTATTTTTAAGTACACACTGAAATTATGCTCGTTTCTGGCATTCCCAGTTTTTCACAAAATTCAGTGGGAAAGCCAGCCTTCCTGGGCCCATGTTTCTTGTTTCTCTTGCCTGTGTCCACATCATGGTCAAGTGGCTTAGCTGACCTGAGGACCAAGCAGATGCCTTCAATGAAGACTAGGAACTCGTTAAAAACCCTGTGGGTTTTACTTACTTTCCACAGATACATCAAATGTAAATGCAAGGCCAATGGATTCCTACCATCTTTCAGGACTGAGTAAAGGACGACTGTTCTCTGATGAGACACGAGCACTTTTGAAATGTTGCAGGGATGGGGGAGCAAGGGAAATCCCGTTACATACTTGAGGCCGAGATTCCTCTCCGTCTGCTAGCCTTGCTTTCCTTGCCAGCAATTCTTCCTGTCCTCTATAAAGTCCATAACTCCAGGAATCCTCTATGAGCCATTTTATATTATAGTTATTCTAGGTCTTTCTTGTATATAGGGATTCTTTAACTCTCTCTAGCTCTCAAGTCTGCAAATTAAGCAGTTTTCATGGACACAAGGAAGGATAAGGGAAGAAAGAACTGGAAGCTTTTCTTCTGGCCCTTTTTTTTTTTTTTTTTTTTTCTCACAGAGGAAGAATGTTTTGGGAGCTGGGAGGGAATTATTTCCAGAGTTATGAGGAGTTCCCCATTTTCTGCACCCCGGGGAGGGACCTGCTGCAAGCAGAGCAGTAACAACAGCTCAAGGTGGGGATGTCAGGTGAGCTTGTGGTGGCCTGGGTGGAAGTAGTACCACAGTCTCTCACAGGGATGTGTCCAAGCATAGAAGATTGCTGACTGCCATTTGACAACTGCTGTACATATGAATAAGGCAAGTCCATTTTCATTGTCTTGCTTGGCAGAAATTTTGTGATACTAATTCTATTTTAACTGTCAGACCCCAAGGTATTGTTTAGGTAGATGCTATAATTTACAAATTATGTTCTTAGGCATCATTTTATTTGATACCTATAAAAAACCTGTAGGCTGGGACAAGACATTTGCAAGAGAAAACACAGGCTCAGGGAGAAAAAGTGACTTGCCCAAGATCACAGTTTTTAAGTAGTGGAGCTAAGTTTGACTCTCAGTCCAGTGAATGCTTTTCTGAGCACAGTGCTTTACTCTTTACTCTTTGAATTTGGCATAAAACATGTTTGCACTAGATAATTCATGACATAAATGCAATAGTTGGTTCAATAGATGTGTTTGTTGCGTGGCTACAATGCAAGGGGCTAAAGAGATGGCCTCTTGAGTTGGCTGGCATGGGTCCTGCCCTCATGGCACTTTCTTTGAAACAGTAAATTTTTTTTAAACTTTTTTTTTTAAATTTTTATTTGTGTGTGTGTGTGTGTGTGTGTGTGTGTGTGTGGCCTGCTCAGCCCACCAGGGGGCGGGGCTGGCTGGCATGTGGTGCTGGGGGATTGAACCACGGTCCCTGTGCTTTGCTAAGCTTGTTCTAAGTAGGTGCTTTAGACCGCTGAGCCATCTCACCAGCCCCTGAACAGTAAATTTTTAAGCAACAAATGCACACTATTCTAGAACAAACTTGGTGTATTAAAGCTTGTGGGTACTGGATAAATGACTGAGATGCCTTCCTGAAAGCAGGCAATTTTGAGTCAGATCCTGAAGGTTGTGTTCAAAGACTAAGGGCAGGGCATTCAGACAAGTGTAGGGTTGATGGTAAGACAAGAGAGTTGTGTAGAGTCCTCTGTGGAATACTAGGAACGTAGTAAAAAGCATGTGTTTATTATTGAAAGTGTATTGCATGTAAGACATTATATGGAGCTGAGTGTACAGTGGCATTCAAAATAGGCTTAGTTTCTGCTTTCAGGTTGCTTAATCTGAAAAGGTAGGAAGTATTGATTGTTGATAATAAAATAATGACACATGTATTTCAGATTATAATAGTTTTTGTACAGGCAAAGGCAGAATTCTAAATGACATAAATTAAGCCGACATTGGAGCTGCTATGCAAAACTGCAGGAGTTACTGGGCAGATAGTTTTGATGAAGGGAGCGGAGAAAGGAAAGCATATGTGTGGGGTGTGCACAATGGCCTTGGGGGTACAGAGGGACTAAAAAGGCCAGTGTGCTGGAGTTGTGAAAGTGGGGCCTGGGCATGTGTGAGATGAGGCTGGGAGAGGACACAAGGAGAATCAGAGTTTGCTCTTTATTCTAAGAGCTGTGGGTACTTTAGAAGCATTTTATGTAGCAATTACATGAGCAGATTTTCTGTTGAAAAAGATTAGCTACAACATGAAGATTATTTGGAAGGGGAATGATAGAAGCTTTGAAGCAACCCCTTAAGGGGTTACTGCATGGTCCAGGGTGGAGATAATGTACTTGGTGCAAGGTGGTGGCATTTGAGATGGAAGAAAGTGTCTGGTTTCCATAGAGACTTAGGAGGTCAAGTCTACAGAACTTAGTGACATACTGAGTAATGGGGAAACAGATGGCTGGGGTAGCTCCTGAGCCCTAGTTGCTTCAACAGATTAGAATGGGGAACTGATCTTTGAACTAAGGAACCTTGTGAAGGGTCTCAGGTTGGGGAAGAAGATAAAATCAACTTTGGATGTCAGAGAGATACTTGGATCTATGGGTCAGGAGCTAAAGTTGAGAATTGAATGGGAATTAAATGAGCTTACCTGGTGGGGGACACTGCACATGGCTAAATTATCCTAGAAAAAAAAGAGCAATAAGTGGGAAAAGAAGGATTAAGTAGGATGTACCATTACCATTTAGAAGAGAACAGGCCAGCCCAGGAGCCACTGGAGAGATGGGAGGAAACTTAAGATGCGCTTAGTGTTATATCATTGAGGTAAAGAAAAAAAATTAAAGGGTGGTGGTGATATTATTTCTAGATTAATTTCCTCATCACATCCAAGAATCTGTTACTTGGTGGCCATGCACCTCTGGGTCCAAGATACCTGTGTAGTGCACTGTTGCCAAGTCCAGGTGGCTGTCATTTTTGTGTGACCTGCATCCTCAGGTTCCTGCATCTGTGGATTCAGCCAGCCGAGGGTGAACAATACAGCATTTGGTGTGGGAGGGATGGAAATGCATCTGTACTGAACACTTACAGGCTTCTTTTCTTGCCGTTATTCCCTAAACAGTACAGTATATGAATTAATTTACATAGCATTTATATTGTACTAGGTGTTATAAATAATTTAAAAATAATTTAGTGTACAGGAAGATGTGTGAAGGCTATATGCACATACTATACCATTTATGGAAAGTACTGAGCAGCCATAGATCTAATGTTTGTGAGGAGTGCTGGAACTGATCCCTTCAAATACCCTAGGACAATGGAATATTTCTTTATTCATTTATTCATGTGACAGATTGCAGGGTGAGTGTGCCTGTGTCTTTTGCCTCGAACAATAATCTCCTTTCCTTTCTCCTACCTCACTGCACTTTTGGCTGCCACTGAGGTTGATTGCAAATCTGAGCTCCTTTAATCCCACTGAGTAGTACCAAACACTATCTGGTCTCTGCGCTCTGAAATTCGACTCCAGGCGCCCCAGCCTCCCGTGCCAGCTGGGATCCGTTAATGAGTTCCACCGAGCACAGCTCACTAGGAGAGGTCTTTGAGCTGGTGAGACATCTGAAGATCTCATTTTTGGCATGCTCTGTGTCAGACCTCTTCCATTCTCCCGCTGCCTTTCTCCTTTTAGGATGGCGGTGGCTCCTCCAAGTTACTGTTTTGTGGCTTTCCCACCACGTGCAAAGGATGGTCTGGTCGTGTTTGGGAAAAATTCTGCCCGGCCCAGAGATGAAGTTCAGGAGGTTGTGTATTTCTCAGCTGCGGATCATGAACCTGAGAGCAAAGTGGAGGTAAGTTGTGCACTGCAGTCTCTCCTTTCATCCACGCACATTCTCTTTCTTTGGCTTTATCTCCAGCCACCGGCCTTCCGCCTTGAAAGTGAGCTCACGTGTCCAACTGTCACACCTTTCTGCTGATTCCCATTTTCATTCAGATTTGTTCATAGCCTGAAGAACAAGGTGCATGGGGGAAATTCTGTGTTCATTGTGGTTTTGCTTTTATAATTTAACTAAAATATTTGCATGCTTCCAAATTCAAGTTTATAAAATAAGGTAAAGTCAAACAAGTCAAACTCCTATTGTTGCCTCCTTTACTCCATTTTCTTTTTCCTCTATAGGTACATGTGTTAGAATTTTTAAAATGTATCTTTTCATTTAAGAAGTTACACAGGGCCGGCCAAATAACTCAGTGGATTAAAATGCCTGCAAGCAGGCGCAGGAGCTGGGGGTTCAGTCCCCAAGTGTGCCCCACTGGCCCTGCCCCCGGGGCGTGCTGAGACAGCAATTGAGATTGGACATATTGGCATGTGCCTGTAATCCCAGCTCTTGGGAGGCTGTAAACAGGCGGATCACTATGAGTCTAATCTAGTAGTGAGACCCTGAATATCCTGTATACCCTTCC